ATCATCGAGTAATTATATCATGTTTCAGCAAGTTTGTGAAACTTGTAGATTGAAAGCAACCTGCTTGTGTTTTTCTTGAAGATGATCTATACGATGGAAGTGAAAATGGATAAAAAATTATTATGGTAAACGGAGGAGTAATGTTTCATAAACATGAGAAAACAATTTTCAACTGAAATAAAATTTAAGATGGGTTGCGTTCTAGGTGTTTGGAATGGCTTGTCCATTAAGGAGCTCGAGGCGATATGCTCCATTCATTAAATCTTATGTGATGCAGAACGGTCCTTCCTACTTGGCTGCTAGCTTTCCATGAGCTCAATTTTTCCTTGCTTCCCCTCTTTTGCGCCATACGAGGTCCCCTTCTTTGAAGGCTCTACGTCTGACCTTGGTATTGTACCGGCGAGAGAGCATTCATTTTTGAGTTGCCTCGCGAATTGTGGCGACCTCTCAAGGTTCAGTTAGCATGTCGAGGTTCATCTGCAACTGCTCGTTGTTGATGTTCATATTTTGTATGCCTCGCCTTAATGACGGTTCTCCTACTTCTACTAGAAACATGGCGTTCGTGCCATATGTGAGGTTGAATGGCGTTTCTCTAGTGGATCCGTGAGGGGTGCATCTGTACGCCCATAGTACTTATGGTAGCTCTTCTACCCACAAGCTTTTGGCTTCACCGAGCCGCTTTTTCTCCAGTGGATCCGTGAGGGGTGCATCTGTACGCCCATAGTACTTCTGGTAGCTCTTCTACCCATAAGCCTTTGGCTTCACCAAGCTGCTTTTTCAACTCTGTGATTACAGCTTTATTGGCAGCTTCAGCCTGCCCATTTGTTTAGGGGTGTTCTACCGAGTTGGTAACATGTTTGATTCCCAAGCTCTTAAGGAATTCTTCCAGTTTCTTTTCAATAAATTGTCCTCCATTATCAGTGACGATTTTCTGAGGTAGACCAAATCGGCAGATCAAGTGCTAGATAAATTTATGTACCCGTTGAGCGCTTATGACCGCCAATGCCTCAGCTTCGATCCATTTTGTGAAGTAATCGACCGCTACTAGGAGGAACTTACTTTGAGAATTTCCGATTGGTAATTGTCCCACTATATCCATTCCCCACTGGGCGAATGGCCATGGCGAGATAATGCCATGCAACTCTTCAGGAGGGACGCGGAAATCTTTGTCGTGTATACATTTCTTAACGAACGTTTCACAATCATGGTCGATTGTTGGCCAGTGGTAACCTGCTCGCAATACTCAGGCCATGAGTGTACGCTTTCCTGAATGTAGACCGCATATTTCGTTGTGAAGCTCTCGTAGAACGTAATCTGCCTCTTCTTCCAATATGCATTTTAGCAGCGGCGCGGTATAGTCTCGCCTTTATAAGTCGTCACCTATACACAGAAAACGAGCAATGCATTTAGAGTCGGTTGTACTAACATTTTCTCCCTGTTCTTGTTTCGTCATTAGTTATCGTATGCTTTGCCGCCAATCGGCTTTGGGCATCACCGTATTAGTTGCAAAGGCTTCAATTATAGGTTTGTCGAGCGTCATCTTGATGACTGAAGACACTTTTGAGTGAGTCAACTTATATAAGAGAATATAATTTAGCACAAAGTTGAAACTAAAATATATTATTTGTTAGAGAATCTTTAATTTAATATGGGTGGTCTTAAAAATATCTTATTTAAATATAAGATGTAATAAGAAATTATCGTTAAAAGGTTGTAGTTAATAGCTAGTTTGTCTCCTATTTGATTGTGTGTTTATTAAACAAAACTAAAAATTAATGAAACAAATAATAAATATTTTTAAGTTTATAATTAAATTTTAAATAAAATCAATATTAAAAGTAATTTATACTTTTAGAAAGTCATGTGTTTATATAAATATAAATAGTAGGTTTTATGAATAAATAAAACACAAAAACATATTAGACATTATCAAGGATGTGTAGAGTTCACTTATTAAAAATATCAATTAATCTATGAACATACTGATGAAATGTGTATTGCTATATTTGTTTAATCAATGCATTAAAAAACTTGTTCAATATGTTTTGTTAGATTTGTCTAATAAGTATAAGGATACACTCGTCTAATGTGTTTTATTATACTCGTTTAATTAGTATATGGACAAATTTGAGTAATATATATTGCAAGATTTATCTAATCATGGAATGGATAGAGTCGTTTAATGTGTATTAATAGATTCATTTAATATGTGTATGAATAGACTCGTCTAACATATGTTGTTAGACTAGTTTAATCAATGTATAGACAAACTCATCTAATATTTGTTACAAGACTCGTATCATCAGTGTATGGACATACTCGTCTAATGTGTATTCTTAAACTTATCTAATCAATATATATTCATCTAATATTTTTTGTTATACTCATCAATCAATATTTGACAAACATTAAATGTTAGACCCCTTTAATGTTTTTTGTTATATTTATCTAATTAATGTATGAACAAACTCGTCTAATGTGTATTTCAAGATTTATATAATCAGAGAATGAACAAACTTGTCTATTGTGTATTAATAAGCTTGATTAATTTATAAGTGAAAATACTTCTCTAATGTATATTGTAAGAGTTGTCTAATCAATATATGAATGACTCGTCTGATGTGTATTGGTGGATTCGTTTAATCAATATATCGACAAATTTGTCTAATTTCTTTTGCTTTGCTCACCTAATCAATGTATTCCTAGACTTGTCTAATCAACATAGGAAATGACTTGTCTAATATTTTTTTGTTATATTTGTCTAACTATTGTATGGATAATCTTGTGAAATTTTTTTGCTATATTCTTTTAATGAGTGTATGTAAAGACTTTCTTATGTGTATTGCTAAACTCTCTAATCAATACATTGACAAACTTGCTTAATATGTATTATTAGACTTGTTTAATTACTACATGAATACACTCGTATAACGTATATTGTTAGGTTCGTCTAATAAGTGTATATTCAAACTCGTGTAATGTGTATTGCAAGACTCGTTTAATCAATGAATGAACAAACTTGTCTAACGTGTATTAATAAACTCATCTAGTTTGTGTACAAACAGACTTGTCTAATTAGTGCATAGACATATTTGTCTAGTGTTTGTTACTAGAGTCGTTTAATTAGTGTATGAACATAGTCTTCCAGTCAATGTATATGCATATTCATTTAATGTGTATTGCAAGACTTACTTAACCCGTGAATGGACAAACTCTTCTAATATGTATTAATAGGCTTGTATAATTTGGTATGGACAGACACGCTTGTGCAATGTATATTGCTAGACTTGTTTTATTAGTGTATGGACAGACTCATCTAGTTTTTATTTCTAGACTTGTTTAATTAGTATATGACAAACTCATTTAATGAGTATTCCATGACTCGTTTAATCAATGTGTGAAATGATTCATTTAATATTTTTTGTTATACTTGTTTAGTGATTGTATGAATAAACTCATCAAAAATATATTGTTAAACTTGTCTAATTAGTGCATCGACATATTCGTTTAATATTTTTTGTTATACATGTCTAATCATTGTATGCTTAGAATCATCTAATAAATGTATGAAATACCTCATCTAATATATTTTTTATTATATTTGTCTAATTAATCTATGAACATACTCCTTTATTGTGTATTGCTAAACTCCTATAATGATTTTTGTTATACTCGTCTAATGTGTATATTATTAGACTCATAATATTTATTTTGCTATATTTGTCTAATGTATTACTAAACTCGTATAAAAATGTATGTCTAGTATATATTTCTAGATTCAAGTCATGACAATGTAAATACAATAATGGTATATTTTAAACTAATTATTTTGTTAGTTTTTATTTTTTATTTCGATCTTACTAAAGTTTTAAACCCTATATTTTCAAGTTAAAATAGTAAAAAGTAAATTTAAAAAATATAAAACAAAATTTATATTGTTAAAAAGTACGACTTTTTATTAAAAATATCTAATATTAAGTACAACATTTTAATTTATTCTAATACAAATATAACTATTTAAAACTTTATAACTTTATGTTAATTTTTATGTATATATAATTAATTCTAACTTTTTATTTTATTAAATAACAAAGTGATTAGAAATCACAAAATAAAAAAATAAAAAATAAAAGATAATAATATAAAAGTAAAACCAATATATTAAATATAAATTATTTTTATTTAATATTTTTTCATATTTATCTAATGTTTGAGTTAGATTCATTTAATCAATAAATAAATATATATATATATATATATATATATATATTAGTAAACTCTTGTTATTAATATATAAATACATCAGAAATATATTTTAAGATAATTAGTTTATTAGATATTTTTTTATAAACTCTAACAATTTGAAGTTAAAATGAAAAATAAATTTGGTGAATATAAAAACAAAATTTATAATATTAAAATGTGTGATAATTTTATTACTAACACTACAAAAATCTCTATTTTTACCGGGGGTTTTTTTAAATAGTACCAGCGGTTTTAACCCCTGCCAATCATATTTCCCGCGGTTGGAAAAACCGGTGGGAAAACGTCCGTCGCCAAGCAAGTACCGGCGGTTTTGGAAAAAACCGCCAGTATTAGCGGGGGTTTCCAGAAACCGCCGGAATTTCCAGGGGTTTTGTAGAAACCGCCGGAATTAGTTGGGGTTTTATGAAAACCGCCGGGAATAGCGTGACATCTCAAAAACCGCCGGAACTAGCTGGGGTTATACAAAAATCGCCCCTATTTTGAGGTGTAGATTACCGGGTTTTAAAACCGCGGGAAATTTGTATATTCATTTTTTTTTATAATATTAAATAAAATTAGATTAGATATAATAAAAATGTGGTTTTATTGACAAAACCAAACAAATAAATTGAATATGGAATAAACATTTAATAATATTGTATAAAATAAATTACATTGTTTAAACCTAATATCATTCATACAACTAATTTGTTCATACAATAAAAAATTAAAAAAAAAAGAAAGAGGTTCAATTTACATATGTTCAATATAGATGTTCAATACTAAAAGTATTCAATAACAATATCTAATTTTTTTCTTCATTACATCCATTGTTTGGCCCACTCCCTTGATCAGATACCTACAATATAACATAATAGTTAGTCGATAATATATTTAATAAAAAAATCATACAAATAAATTTAACAATTATTATCGATGATCTTTGAAATACTGCAAATTGTGAAGACAATGGACCTTGATGATTTTGCAAAAAAAGTGTCATGATTGCCTTCATTTTATTGACTTGTGATGTCAATGAAGATACTTATAACAGAAAAATTTATTTATGGGACATGTTTCAACATTTGGTTCAGTGACTTGAAATAGTTTCAGACATTCATTTGTACCACTGCTTACAAATTATTACTCTCTCTGTCGTATTCCTATATATTGAATTCAAGTGAATACATTCAGCCGAATAAATAAAGGGCACAATAAAATAAGCATACGAAATCTCAAATGCCCAATAGTGTGAATATATGTGACAAGACTAACCTTCCCAGGGTGATTGTACAAAGATGATAGATCAGAGAACAGAGAGGGAACGCCCTAGAAACAACACCAAAAGAAATCCCAGTCAACTATTAGACAACTAAGCTAGGCATAATATAATATGAAAAGGAATTTTGTAAACCTTAGTTAAGAGAGGCCTAATATAATTGGCGAGTACTGTCCATCTTCTAAATAAAGTCCAACACACTTTTGAAGTCCTTCATAGTATCTGAATAGTAATATGAATCATGAACTAAAATTCAGTTTCAACAAGCAAAATAGACAAATAAGCAATATAACATACACAAATACAGTGTACACAACTGTAAATAACATATCAAACCAACCAGAACCAAATTTAAAAGAAAAAACAAAGTTAAACCAATTTTGCAACTGAATCAAAATCACCCCTCATCCATTTACTGGAGAGTATTCAAAAACATTTTAATTTCTATTAAAATTAGGATACGACATGCATTGCTTATCATATAAAAAAAATACAGAGTAGACAACTTATCAAATCGAATAGAACCAAGTTCAAAAGAAAAAACAAATTTAAAACTATTCTACCACTGAATTAAAATCATCCCCCTTGGCCATTTATAATTTCTCTTAAAATTAGGACAAGACAACCACTGTTTATCCTAATCTAATTTCACACAAAACACACCTTAAGACATCAGGTAAACAATAGTTTCCAGTACCAAACTGAGCCACACACAAAAATGAGAGAAAAAATGAAAATAAAAAAGAGATATAACTTTGAAGTGTAAGAAGTTTCAAAAAACCAGACAAGTTAGAATGTATTTCCAATTATTTATAAAAAAAACAGAAAAGGATTTTCATGTCAAGATAATAGCATATGAGCACATAAATCGTCGAAGAATAGTCAAGACAAAAAGAGTTACAGGAAGCAAGATTGAAAAATTGATGAATGTGTATTTCCGCAGGTTATATTCTCTTCAGGAAAGCTAAATGTAGCTAGAGAATTTCCGAAGGTTATTAATCTTTCTTTTTTATGTCTTCTCACAAATGTCTGGGTGGAGAAAAAAAATATTATCATGTTATTGCAAATTAGTGTGTTTGAGTGGAAACAAAAAATATGCATCTTTATACATATACTTATGAGGAATGAGGAACAATCAGAGTATAATAGATAAATTGAAGAAAATTGGAGGAATGAACTAATTTAAATCAAATAAATATTAGTAACCATCTAATCATTCATCAAGGATAAAAAAATTATAAATATGTTTACCAAAGTGTTGAAATGTGATAGATTAAGATTTTTAAGAGAATATATGAGTGTTATACATGTAAATACAACTTTAACTTAAGGAGGAGTGTTGGATTTAAGTCAAAGACAATTTTTACAGTTTTAAAAAACTCTATCAGTTATGTTCTGGTTTTTTTCTTTATACATTGTTACTTTTTGGATGGTTGTATATATTCATATAAATATCCTGTGAAGGTTAATGGGAAACATTTCAATGCATTTCTGTAATTCCTATATGCTCTTATTTATTAACTTTTGTTTCATATATATATATATATATATATATATATATATATATATATGATAAAATATATGTTTAAATATTATTTTTATTTTTTATTTTTATCATTTGTCCAACACATCCCATGTGAAGAATCCTCCTAACCCATTTCCAGCATTAACTATAATCTGCACATTTTGTTGATTTCATTGCAATCAGAGTGTGAAATTTTCAAAGCTAGAATGACTAATGACAAAACAAGACCAAGACTTCAATTTAAACGCAACAACTATCAATATCTTATGGCATAAAGGTGTTAAGAAACTTTGCAATAACTTGTAAGTTAGTATTAGTAAATTAACCTAATCATTGTGGCTGCTACGAGTTCAATGTAATGAATTAAGGATAAAATGAGTTAAAGAAATAATGACTATTTATCTATTATAGAGGGTTATCAGTGAGACCTGAAATCCCTGAAGTGGAGTGTCAGGATACAGAGGATGATCGATTCTCTCCTTGATTATTTCTCGTAGGTGTATTGCATAAGTGCTCATAAAATCAACTTTTGTTGGAATGACACTAAGCAAAGTAGAGACTTTGGCCATCCTATATTTGCATATTTTCGAGCAGCTTTATCACATATTTCCTCCACCTCTGTTGAAGTCAATCCACCTCTCTTGGTAAAAAATTTGTATTAGGCTCTGATTATGACAGAATCATCACATCCATATTATAAGCTTCTCAGTACTAGTCTTAAAGTCTAGTGTCATAAGCAGCATTCATTTGAGTTCATGGATTGTAGAAAATCCTAATCAAGAGTTAAAACAAAAAAGCATTAACCAACTACAAATTGTTGCTGTTACAAATTTTGGTAACCTACCATGATTGAACCACCATAGGCAAATGGAGACAATATTGTGCTCATGAAACAAGCTGGTGTGGTAGCTAGTCCCATGTCAAACACCATGCAACCTGCACGAGAAAGACCTGCAAAAACTACAACACTCAGTTTTGACCCTGTAATTCTAGGGTCACGTCCAAGAGACACTCTCACATTCTCTACAAGGCAAAATGCCTAATGGTAGTCAACTTTGCCTAATTTCAAGATCTACCACTCCACAAGTTTAGGTTTGAAGAATGATAAGGTTTACCAGTTTTCATAAATTACAGCAAACACGAATTTTCAAAACCTCCTTCGAAACCCTAACCCCCAAATCACAAGAATAAAAAAAGAAAAGAACACGATTCGAACCCTATCTGGCGAAGCTCATCCCCGCGCCGCGAAGAAATCACCGCCGTGGTACCCACCGCGCGGTGAGGATGGAGGTCGCGCCTGGCCGCCGAAACTTGCGTTTCCTCTCTGCCAAAAACGAACCCAAACCTCCTCCTTTGCCATGCTCCTTGCGTGAGAACTCTACACCTTGTTTGAAGTCCAGAAAACGTGAAGAACAACGTTCGAGACACGAACTGAAATCCAAGAAACGTAGATGAACGACGCGGGAAAGAAGTAGGGTTGAGTAAAATGAGTTCAGAGACTGATAGACGTAAAGAAGGCTCACGAAAAAGAAAGAAAGAGGATTGAGAAAATATTCATAAAAAAATTAAATTAAATAAAAAAAATAGCTGCGGTTTTCAACATCAACCGCGGGAAATTACTGGGATTTTTCAAACCTCCGAAAAATAACCTCCCCTAAAATATATTATTTTTGTAGTGTAAAAGCTTTAAAAGGAACTATAATTTTTTAATATTCTTTTGTAACATAATTATTTAAAACTTTATAAGAAGTGTTATGTATGTATGATTTATAATGACTTCATAAAATAATATTAGTTTAATTTATATGAAGAATATCAATAATAAAAATATTTATTTAATAGTCTAATATAATAACTCTAACTTTACACATAATTAATTTTTGAAAATTTTACATACCGATTATGTATTTTTTTTAAAGTAGTGATATATATTATCTCTTAATTGATACCTTTAACTGTTATTTTATAAAATATACTTTAAAGTAATTAAATTAAAAACAAATAGTACTTACATAAGTAAAACATAATTAAACACGAAGTTCACACTACAAGATAATTATCTGTTAGAGAAACTTTAATTTAATACGGGAGGTCTTAAAAATATCTTATTTAAATTAAGATGTAATAAGAAATTCTCATTGATATTGTAAAAGTTTTAGTTCAGAATTGTCTTGAATATGACTAATTTTTATTTTTATTTTCAGAATAAACTCAACTAAAAAATTGTACAAAACTCACATCCAATTTATTTATTACACCATTTTACTCTGTCGGAACAGAAGTCGTGAGGGTGTAAACTGATTTCTTCTTTTGCGTTAGTCTTGATTGAGGTGAGCAAATTTCAATGCAGAATTTTTAATTTTTTATATTTCATAAGTTTAGTATAATAATACAAATTTTAAAAATAAAAAAATTAACAATTTTGTTGAGATTAGTAAAAATTTGCAATACAATATAATAATACATGTTTGATTAAAACCTCATAGTTACAAAAATTTATGCATGGTAGATGATACTATTAACTCGTCAAATAAAATAGCACTCAATAGCATAATATATCCTCATTCTTGTGTTTTGTAAGAATGGAAAACCTTTAGAATACAATTTATTCCCTTTTAAAGTTTAAAATGATTTATAATTAGATCTGATTTTTAGATAGACACAGTTGCTAAAATTTGATGACTCAAATTGATGATATTAATTTACTTTTATCAGAGGAGTGAACTAATCCACCAATATATCTTCTAAATTGAAAATTAAAACATAAATAATTTAAAGGATTAAAATATTTTATGTTATATTATTTAAAATATATAAATATATATCATATTATAACTTAAATCATTATATTAACAAGTAAAACTTTAATTATTAATTATGATAAAATAATTTATCATATAAAAATAATAAATATAGTAATTAAATTAATTAAAAATAATAATTAATAACAAAAAACTTAAAATGTATTAAAATTGTTCAAACTGCCCCACCTTCAATAAAGTAGGTTGGCAGTTTAGGTAAGAAGAGTTTGATTTTGCTACATGTAAGTTTTAACAGCTTGTCTGGAGAAGGCTCTACACTATTTGTCCACTTGCAGTTTTGTTGTTCAAGCTTCTGAGCAGTAGAAAAATGAGATAATGATTTACAATGATAGAATATGACATCATGATTTTCCAAAGAAGATTGGCCACACAGGACAATGGTCCACAAGCACAATGCAAGTTAGCATGATATTGTTCTTTCTCTGTTAAAAAAAGTACAAAAAAGTTGCATTCATAGAACACTGGATATTTTGCTCTCCTCTCAATTTCAAAAGATCCTGTGCTATATGAATACAAATTCATTTCAATCATTCACACCAGGGACAAATGACTACAAATATTCTACCTTGTTAAGGTTTACTTCTGATACAAGACAGTTGATGTTGCAGAGTCAACAAGATTTCTTTCCTTACAAAGGATAGGGGAAATCATTCTTTACTTTTTATCTCTGTTCCATTTTGGAATAATAATTATCCATCCCAAAAAGATTCTACTCAGTTGAAAACAAAGATGACTATACTTTAGGAAATTTGAGAATGGACTTCATAACTAACCATGTTATGTTATACTTACAGTTGGGATAGAATTTTGGGTGTAACATAGAGCAGAACCATGTATATTTCACAGAACCATCAATATATAAAACTATATACCAAATTACATTTGCAAACAGCCACATCAGGACTGAAATAATAGTCAATATACAACGAATTCAATTTACCAGTCAATATATGTAGTTGGTGAGAGGCACTATTATGTATTTCTTCATCTTCTTTATCCGTGTGGCTTTGGATGAGTGAATTATGAGTGAAATAACAAGGCTGGCTATGTGTTAAAAATGATGCCATGATCCACCTTACAGGAATATACAGTGTTGTAGGGGTGAACTCATTCTGTGTGGGATATATAACTGCACTGGCCTTAGCCAAACACGTCAAAAACATACCTTAACTTTCACTCAACTTTGCTCGCATAATAGACAGCTCTCAACAGTTCAGGAACCTGTCTGCATTGGGAGGAGAGACCCTTGCTTGCCTTCTATGAAGATTGCTAGCTCTGTTGGTGCAACCACCAATCTTAACCACTTCTGTAACTCTTCACCCTCTACTTTCTCTTTTTCTGAAAAATCAGTATCAGTACTATTAGAACATCACAGTTAAGCAAAGCTACATGGTTCACAGTCATCTGAATTGATACATAGTTAATAGATGCACAAGATGTTCATATCCCAATTTCACTTGTCCCTTCACATGATCATCGTGTTATATAGAAGTGGCATGTAAAGTTCAATTAGTGACATGACAGGATACAGGTATGAACATGCTAGAGATAGAACTTTCTATTTTTTAGTTAAACCCTAACCTAAATATATACACTATCCATTTATCAGATTAAAAAATTTGAAGTTATTAAATCTTAATTTTTGGACAATCAGCTGAAAAATAACCAAATATAAAATGAGACCCGTATAGTTACCTTCTAAATGAGCACCTAAACCCTCCAAAACAGTAGGATTAGCTCGCACAATGGAAAGTGATACTTCCAGCGCAGACTGCAGCAATGCTTTCACTTCTCTTTGAACAAGATCAACAAGGTGTCCCTGTTTGTTTAGATATAAATCAGCATATAGTAAAAATTGAATAGGAAGAAGAAATAAGTTAATGAAATAGAGGACCTGATCTCTTCCCCAAGGAACTGATCCGCCAGATTCATCCATTCCACCATTGGAAAGGGTGGCAATTGACACAGGACCTATTGTCTGATTAAGACCATATTCAGCAATAGCTTTGTATGCCATATCGGTTGCTCGCCGTATGTCATCAAGTGCACCTGTTGACACTCTACCTGAATAAACAACTTCTTCTGCAGCACGTCCTCCGAGTAGGGTAACCAGACGGCCACGCAACTCGTCAATGAAAAGCAAGTATCTGTCCTCATTTGTTGGAGGAATGTAAGTGAATCCCAAAGCCCCTCCGGATCTAGGCAATATGCTTAGCTTCTGATAACATACACAGGATACCAAGGCATGAATGGATTTTCTTAATAAACAAAAATCAAACATAATTTTCAATACAAAAGTAGGCTAAAATTCCCAAATAGCAAATTTTGGCAAGTATTCAATTCGAAATAGAATGAAGGAGGGTTGGGTTCATTTCACAAGTATAGATACTTAAGCCGTGTTTTCAATAGTTTGCTTGTCTAGACAACTAAAATTCCAAATACCAACCCAGTATGATTATCTGACTTTTCTTTATTAATACCTAACCATTTGCAATGACATTTGGCATATTTAAATGGCCAAGAATAGAATATTTTCTAGGGTTTACCTCAACACGTGGCTGTCCAGAAAGAAGGCTTGCAACTGCAGTACCTACTACAGCATGACCAGCTTCATGTCGTGCAACTACAGCCTTCTCGCTTCCTTTCAACTTAGCAGTCTTCTTTTCTATACCCTGAAATAAGAAGTTACTTGGTCCATTTTATCCAGCATAGGTAAAACTTACAAAACTAAAATTTTTCAAATTAACTTTTGTTATTGACATCCAAATCCTGCCAGACGGCAGCTGTAAAGTGAAAATGTCCATCTATCAAGATTTTAAGAGACATTGTAACTTACTGCTATTGATCTTTCTACAGCTTGAATGAAATCAATTTTCTCCACAATAATTTTGTTTTGTCTTCCCGCCAATAAAGCAGCCTCATTTACTAGGTTTGCAAGATCCGCTCTTCAATTTGTGTACCAGTGTGTCAAATCAAAATTTCAGTCTTCCAAATATTTAAAAGATATAAAAAGGTATGAACGAAACAGAATAATTACCCTGTAAAACCAGTGGTCATACAAGCAATGTCACCAAGATCAACATCCTTAGCTAAAGGAAGTTCTTTCTTGGAAACATGAACTTTCAGGATAGACTCTCTTCCAATCCTATCAGGTGTTTCCACCTAAATTGAAAATGAACATTTTTTCTTAGAATATGCCAAGTCAAGGTCTTTCTGAAATCAGTATAAAAATCAAAGGTTATGCTGTTAAATAAAATCCAGACCATAACTACTCGATCAAATCTTCCTGGCCTTCGGAGTGCAGGGTCTAAGACATCTGCGCGATTAGTTGCTCCAAGAACAATGACTGCAGAATTGCTGTCAAAACCATCCATCTCCTGCAATTAAGTTAAAAACATTAGCCTCTTATTTACATAATACCCACCCCAATGCTCGAAAAAAAAATACAAGAAAATGGAAAATTGGTTATACAGTGAGCAGCTGGTTCAAGGTTTGTTCTCGTTCATCATTGCTGACAATCCGAAATTTACCATCGCGACTTTTAGCCACAGCATCTATCTGCATACCAAAATGATACCAAAATGAAAGTTTAATTGGTTGAATAGTAAATATTAAATCAAACATCTAACAAAATAAAAAGAAATATATTTACCTCATCAATAAATATAA